AAAAAAAAAAAAAGAAAAGACCAACAATTTTTGATCGCTTAAAAACAAAATTTTTCCTTTCTCTCTTTTATTATACGTAACTCAAATTTGTATAAAAATCCAAACTTTCAATACAGCTTGTATAATGTACATCCCAACTGGTAATATACGCCAAATCATGGTCGTAAATCTAGAAATGAGATCAGTACAATTACGTCTATTATTAAATACCGTGCGTTCAGGCCGGTTTATTCCTGGGTTGCCGTCGTCGAAGCGGATCTCCGCGGAGCGTATTCATTAATTACCTTTCGCGGCGCGTAATATCAAGCTATACGTATAGCTGTACGCAGGACGCGTAACTATCGTCGATACAAGGTGACACACCGCAATCGTCACCCAGGTTTCACCGGTATTCACCGATTGTGGGATACTGCCAACTGGTGTGGAGTTCGCCACTGTTCTGACCGCTGTTGCTCATCGGCCAGGCCACCACCACACACAGCGGGATATTTCTAGTCGGTTGCCATGTACGAGTTAGTGCTCGACCGTGTGAGCACCTGTACGTGTCGGTCCATCGCTGCCATCGTTTCCTCAACCGGTCCAGTGGATACGCGATTTTTCCTTTTTAGTCCGATAGTGGAATAGCGCAAAGCTTAAGTGTGTCGAATGTGAGACAACCGACAGGATGAGCGAAACAAGGAAGACAACAAGCATCCGGAAACGGGAGGAGCAACAATCGCCCAGGCCTAGACAACAACCGATCAGGCCACCGAGGACGAAGACGCAACAGGCTCGTGACAATAAGGCTATCGATCGGCACGAGAATCGTGGTGCGCCGTGGAACAACGTAAAACCAGCTTAAATAGCTGACCGTGTCAAGTTTAGGTTCAATCGAAAGTTTGATCGTGGATTAGAGAAATTTTAAAAAAAAAAAAAAAAAAAAAAAAAAAAAAATGGTGGTTTTAACGAAATGTTGTGAAATCGAGAACAGCCGAGTGTCGTGAAATTTAATTGCGAAACGAAACGAGCTTAAAACCACGGATTTTGGACGGGATATGTATTGGGGCTGAAAAGTTTACTCGGTGGATAGGAAATTGGCTTGCTGTCAAAAGCTCGGAGAGACGCAACAAGCGATAAAAGGATGCGTTGATCAGGATGATTATGATAGAAACATAATAGTAAACTGTTTTGTACGAATAGGCTGGATTTAAATTGATTATAAATTCTTTATTAATTCTTTATGACGGCGGATTTCAAAGTACACTTATTAATATCAAATATTAGTGGAAAGATTATAAAATCGATGTGAAATTGAATTCGATGCGATTAATATTAAATACGTCATCTTGTTAAAGATACATATAGTTAGACTGTTCATTTATTTATATATTTCTAAAGATATAACGAAATGCGTAAAAATTCTAAAAATAAAATATATATTTTTTAAACATTTCATGAAATAAGTTATTAATTTTCTTTTTTCATATTTTTTATTTGTATTCATAAAAATGTGCATAAACATTTAGAATTTAAAGATGATGAAATCATTCAACAGATCTGTAAATAGATACGCGAAACGAGCTTTTGAGAGCAACTTTTTAGAATTTTGTTTTAATTGAATGTGAAGATTCGGTCATGAAATTGGCACGTTTCCAAAATCTCGTGAATGCAACAGCTTCGTGGCAATGAAAATGTTTATCGGAATAGACCTTCGAAGTTCATTGTAACAGCAAAACGTTTCAAATATAAATTTTTTAAGAGTTTAAATCTTGGATATAATAGCAATTTTTTACACAAAGCT